TTAAAGCGGCTGAGTTTGCAAAACAGTATAATTATTAGGACTGAGTTCAAATAACGTATCAAAATAGTGAGGAAATAGTGATAACAATCCCCGAAGGACTCGAATAATCGGCATCAAGCCCAAAACATGGCCTAGTTCAAATTTCAAAAACCCAAGCCCTAGTTCTTCTCATTTTAGCCAAGTTTCCATGAATTTCAAGGTTAATTTCACATAATAATCGTGTTTTTAGTACGTAGGACTTACCTCCAATCAATCCCTGTCTAAATCCCCTTCAATTTCTCCCAAAAAGCTCCAAAGGTCGATCAAAAATGGTGGAAATAACCCTTAGCTCGCGGAACAAAATGAGCTTTTAAAACCCTTCTCTGAACAGGCACTTTCGCTTCTGCGGTTGCCTTACCGCATTTGCGACTACCGCTTATGCGGTTCTACCTCTGCTTCTGCGGATCTTCATTATGCCCAGGACCGCTTTTGCGTTCAAGTCCCGCTTCTGCGGACCCCGCTTATGCGGTCAAACATCCGCTCCTGCGGAACTCCTCTAAAGTGCGCGGACCGCTTTTGCGGTCAAAGTCCGCACCTGCGGATATCGCACCTGCGGAATTTATCCGCTTCTGCGAAAATTCTTCAATTGGCCAACTTCTCACCTGCGACCCATACTTCGTATCTGCGGAACTGCATCTGCGGCCCCTTTTTCGGAGATGCGGAAACACCAGATATCAGCAATCTTCAGAAATCTCACAAGTCCAAATTCATCCTGATGGCCATCCGAAATCACCCCGAGGCCCCCGGGACCTCAACCAAAAGTGCCAACCCATCCTAAAACATCATTCAAACTTGCTCCAATCATCAAAACGCCACAAACAACAAAAAAACTATCAGATTACATCGGATTCAAGCCTAAGTTCTTCTAAAACTTCCGAATTACGCCTTTGATAAAAACCCGACTAAAACACCTCCGAATGACCTGAAATTTTGCACACACATCCCAAATCACCTAACGAAGCTACAGCAACTCTCGAAATTCCATTCCGACCCTCGGATCAAAATCTCACCTATCAACCGGAATTCGCCAAAATACTAACTTCGCCAATTCAAGCCTAATTCTATACCGGACCTCCAAAATCAATTCCGATTCCACTCCTAAGTCACAAATCATCTAACGAAGCCAACCAAATCATAAAAACTCCGATCCGAGCTCGTATACAAATAAGTCAACTCTTGGTTGAACCATTCAAATTCAAGGCTTTAAACTGAACTGTTCTTTCAAATTCAATCCAAATTTTTCCTGAAACCAAAACCAACGACCTACATTAGTCATAGACATAACACGGGGCAAGTCATGCCCGAGAACTGTCGATCAAAGTGCAAAAGCTCAGAACGACCGGTCGGGTCGTTACAACAAGAGACACCAAAATCACCTGATGAATATAAATACTTACTTATTATATATTATTAATATTCTACTTTATATAATATACATAAATTATATTTCGTATTTTGCCTCTTTCTAACTATTTTTGCAAAAAAAAAGAAAAATAAAAAAGATTATAAATAACAGAAGAAAAAGACAAAATGCTCAATGAAAGTCTGCTAAGCAAACACAAGAATTGAAATGGTAAATGGAAGTCTATAATTGAAGCTCGGACACGTCCAAGCTCATATCCTTAGGAGTGTCCAAGATCATAAGTCCAAGCTCATATCCTTAGAAGTGTCCAAGATCATGTCTTCAGACGCGTCCAAGATCACGTATCCAAGATCATGTCTTCAGACGCGTCCAAACTCATTCCTTGGACATGTCTAAATCATTTAATGCTTGCAAGATTTGTTATAAATAGAATGCAATTTGGCATCGGAAAGGGGGGAAGAGGAAGAACTACTTTTATCTAAACTTTGAGTTTTAACTTCTTTCATTAACTATTTTATTTTCTTTTAGTAAGTGTTTGGATTTTCTAAGAGTATTGAAAATATTCTAGAATTCCATTTTATTGTGAGATTTAAATACTCCATAATGGAGTAATCTCTTTTGTTGGGATAGTTGATGAAGCTTGATATATATTTTTATAATATTATTTCAGTTTAATACATCCTTGGCTTGAAATTTTCATTGTATAATTCATACTGTGCTGAAATAATGGTTTCTAACTAATCATTATTATCACTTCTATATATTTTATTTAAGTTATTATTATATTAATTTTTTAATTTTCACGGAGCAAAATTAATATATAATAACCAATGAATAAAATAGTAGAGTAAGAATAATTTTTGTAAAACTCTTATTTCAAATTTGTAATCTTGTTTGTCTCAGTTTTAATTCTCACGGAGGAATTGTTGTAGGCAAGATTACTGATATTTTAGTGAAAATATTCTCACAAAGTTTTTACTACCTTTTAGCACAATTTAAGCAAGTATTTCGCTTTGATCGTCACTAGTTTTAACTCATTTAAGTGCATAACCTCACGGAGTGCTATTAATTGACTTTTTCTTAGTGAGTAAATATAATTGTTTTAGCAATAAGCAATTATTCTTTAGAGAAATACATGTGGAAATTGAGATTTTATTGTAATAATATTATCAAGTGAATTCAACGATTCCCAACTCTTTTTAAATTATCAATCTTTCGGAAATTGTTTGTTTTGCTTTAATTAATTAACAAGTTTTAACACTCACCATTCATTAATTTGGTTCTCTCAAATAGTAGTAAAAATATTAAAAGTCTGTAGCCTAGGTTAACCAATCTCTGTGGGACGATATTATAAACTATACTAGAATTTGACTGAGTACGAGCTGAAAAATCCTATGCACATTGGTCTCGTCAAATTTTTGGCGCCGTTGCCGGCGATTGACACAAGTCTACTTCAGACTAAATATTTTTTTACTAGTTTGGGAACTTACTATTAGTATTGTTATCTTTGTTATTAGTATCTACTAAATATTACTACTATCACTTTTACTATTACAAGTACTAACATCTTATAGAAGTGTTATTATCATTCATCCTTCTTATCATCATTATAGCATAGCTGTCACTATTATTAATACTAGTACTACTTGTAACTATATTCTATATTAGTATTATGTTATTATTTTCCATCGTTAGTTACTGTTACTACTTACTGATTTCGTTTACCATTTTTTTCATAACATCTATTGCTAATTAGTACTAATATAATTACTATTATCATATTATACTACTACTACTACTACTTTAGGAGTTAAGTTTAGTTTTTTTTTAGAATCTTGAGTAGTTTATGACCCGCTCTTCTATAAAAGAGTTGGTCAATTACGATCCTGAAATTGAGAAATCTCTTCGATTGTGCAGGAAAGGAAAAGCATTATCTTCCCAAAGCATAGCTTGTGGAGGTATGGAGAATCAAGAAGTAGATGACATTCAACCACCAGTCCATGTGGAGGATCAGTTTGATGAAGTAGCACCAAGGCCAGCAAATAGAATCCTAAGGGATTATGCTAGACCTGACCGCTTTAACTGTGAATCTAGTGTCAGAAAACCTCTAGTGGCAGCCAACAACTTTGAAATCAGGACTGGCCTGATTCAAACGATTCAACAGTCTTGCATCTTCACTGGAGATGCAAGTGAAGATCCACACAGTCATTAAATTGACTTTTTGGAACTTGTTGAAACAGCTAAGTATAAAGGAGTACCTCCTGAAGCTATCAAGTTAAGGCTATTTCCTTTCTCTTTAAAAGGAGATGCCAAGACTTGGTTGCGAAGTTTGCCACAAGGTTCCATCACCACATGGGATCAAATGACTCAGAAATTTTTAAACAAATATTTTTCCCCTGCTAAAACCACAAAGTTAAGACAAGACATCTCTAATTTCTTGCAGACTGACACTGAATCAGTTTATCAATCTTGGGAAAGATTAAAAGCAATGTTAAGAAAATGCTCACACCATGACATTCCTGAACATATGCAGTTGTATATTTTTTATCACGGGTTAAAACCCTCTTCTAGAAATGTGATTGATGCAGCTGCAGGAAGTTCTGTAATGGGAAAAACCACGGAGGAAGCATTACAATTGTTGAACGAGATTTCTGAGAATGCCATCCAATGGCCATCTGAGCGTGTAATCATCAAGAAGGCTGCTATGGTAAATCAGGTTGATGCTTTAAATACGCTAATGCAACAAATTGTTTCTTTGGCACAAAAGTTTGAAACTTTTCAGGTGAATACGCAACAACCAAGTCAATCTGAGGCTTATGACATGTGTGGAGGAAACCATCTGAACCATGAATGTCAAGCAAACAATCATAATGACGAATATGTCCATTCTGTTGGTTATAAACCGTATCCTTTTGGGAGTCCAATGGCACAAAAGCATCCAGGATTTCAATGGAGCAATCCAAATGGTGCAGAGAACTCTCAAAGCTTCCAGAAGCAACAAATACAGGGTCCACCCGGATATCAGAATCCAAACCATGGTCAATCAAACTTCAGACCATATCAGCAAGCAACTCCAAATCAGCAAAGGCCTCAACAAGCTCATTCAAGTCTTGATGATCTTTTGTATAAGTACATTAAGGTCACTGATGAGAAGATGGAGAAACACATATGTCTTTCATTTCACCAAGATTCAATTTTCTAAAGATAGAAAATTGCATCATTGAAGCTCCAGAATCACAGAGTGCTTTTTCAAAATATAATCCTCCCAAAGTGCATGGAATTGTAAAACTGCCTGGGTCACCAAGTTTTTGTGGTAGCTTATTTTGAAGTATAGCACTGCATTTTTCAGTAAGCATTACCATGTTAACTTCTTCCAATTTTCTTTTGTTTGACAAAATTTCTTTTAAAAATTTGGCATATGAAGGCATTTGCAATAAAGCATCAGTGAACGGAATATTGATGTGAATCTGTTTAAAATCTCCAAAAAAATTAGGCAAATTGACTATCAAGATTTTCTCTTTTCATTCTTTGTGGAAAAAGAATTTTCCATCAAGGACAACTAATTTTGAGAGTTGATGAAGAAAGAGTCATTTTCGATATGCAAAAGATATTAAGATTTTCAGGAGATGAGACATCATCGTCGTGTTTTTCAATTGACATGCTTAATTATCTTACAGATGAATTCAAAGATGATCAATTAATTCCAGACTCAATGGAAAGATGTTTGGCCAAATCTGGAACAACACAAGATGATGATCCTATCATCAGAAGAGAAGCCGAAATACTAGAAAAAGTTTTTGAAGATGAGGAGATCCAACCAGAACAAGTTCAACCAAAAATTAAACTCAAAGTTCTCCCATCTCATTTAAAATATGTTTACATTGAGAAAAATTATTTCCAGTAATTATTTCATCTTCTCTTACTGTAGGACAAGAAGAAAAACTGATTGAAGTGTTGAAAGCACACAAGGGAGCCTTGGGATGGACTATAGAAGATATCAAAGAGATTAATCTAGCTGTTTGTACGCACAGAATCCTTATGGAGGATAGCTACAGGCCAATAGTCCAGCCCCAAAGGAGATTGAATCCAGCAATGCAGGATGTAGTAAAAAAGGAGATCGTAAAGCTTTTGGCGGCAGGTATTATCTATTTCAGACAGCCCTGGGGTAAGCCCAGTTCAGGTAGTACCAAAGAAAGGAGGTATGACTGTTATAAAAAATAAAAATAATGAACTCATACCTACCAGGACCGTCACAGGATGGAGAGTCTGTATTGATTACAGACATCTCAATGATGCTACTAGAAAAGATCATTTTCCGTTACCATTTATTGATCAAATGTTGGAAAAAATTGCAGGATATGATTTTTACTGTTTTCTTGATGGTTATTCAGGGTATAACCAAATACCAATTGCACCTGAAGATCAGGACAAAACAACTTTCACATGTCCTCATAGAACATACGCCTATAGGAGAATGCCATTTGGTCTATGCAACGCCCCTGCTACATTTCAGCGTTGCATGTCAGTAATTTTTTCTGACATGACTGAAAAATTTCTTGAAATTTCTATGGATGATTTTACACTCTTTGGCAAAACATTTGAGGATTGTCTTCACCACTTGACCTTAGTTCTTAAGAGATTTGAAGAGACAAACTTGATTCTTAATTGGGAAAAATGTCATTTTATGGTTATTGAGGGAATTGTTTTAGGACATAAAATCACCGCTAAAGGGATAGAAGTTGATAAGGCTAAAATTGATCTTATAGCAGGATTACCCCCTCCCACAACTGTTAAAGGCATCAGAAGCTTTCTAGGTCATGCAGGTTCTTACAGACGGTTCATAAAAGACTTTTCAAAGATTTCAAAACCGTTGACTAACCTTTTGATGAAAGATATTAAGTTTGATTTTTCAGGTAATTGTTTGAAAGCATTTGAGACCCTTAAGGAAAAGTTATCAACCGCCCCTATAGTTGTGTCCCCAGACTGGAATCAACCTTTTGAGGTCATGTGTGATGCTAGTGATATAGCAGTTGGAGCAATTTTAGGCCAGAGAAAGGATAAGATCTTTCGTCCCATTTACTATGCTAGTAGAACAATGAATGAGGATCAACTGAATTATGCCACAACAGAAAAAGAGTTACTAGCAGTAGTATTTGCTTTTGATAAGTTTCGATCTTACTTGATAGGAACCAAGTCACTGTTTTTACTGATTATGCAGCTTTAAAATACCTCTTAGCAAAGAAAGATGCTCGACCTAGATTGTTAAGATGGATTTTACTTCTACAAGAATTTGACCTTGAGATAAAAGACAAAAAAGGAACAGAAAATCAAGTAGCTGACCATTTGTCTAGATTAGAAAATCCCCCCCTTGAGTTTAGCAAAATAAAGGAAGAATTTCCTGATGAACACATTTTCTCAGTTAATTCAATTGTGACTCAACCACCCTGGTTTGCAGATATTGCAAACTACTTGGTTGGAAAGTGGACACCCCAAGATCTCTCTTACCAGCAAAGAAAAAAGCTTATATCTGATGCAAAGTATTATTTGTGGAATGAACCTTACTTGTTTAAAAATTGCGCAGATAATATCATTAGAAGATGTGTGCCTGAAGATGAGATGAGCAAACTTTTATATCACTGTCATGATGGAGCAATTGGAGGACATTATGCGGCAAATCGAACAGCCTTTAAAGTTTTGGAAGCCGATTTTTTTGGCCGACTCTCTTTAAAGATGCCCGAGCATATGTTGCACAATGTAACAGGTGTCAGAGAACAGGTAACATCACTAAGAGAGATGAGATGCCAATACAATCAATACAGGTATGTGAAATATTTGATGTTTGGGGAATAGATTTCATGGGTCATTTTCCTTCTTCTCATTCTTTTGAATATATCCTTGTGGCCGTGGATTATGTGTCAAGATGGGTTGAAGCCATCCCCACAAGGAAAAATAATGCTCGAACTGTGTGCAATTTTCTCAAGAAAAATATTTTTACCAGATTTGGCACACCACGAGTCATCATTAGTGACCAAGGGACTCATTTTATGAATAGACAATTTTTTTCTTTGCTAACAAAATATGGTGTGACTCATAAAACAGGAACACCATATCATGCTCAAACTCAAGGGCGAGTTGAAGTTTCCAACCGTGAGTTAAAAAGAATTCTTGAAAAAACGGTTGGAATCTCAAAAAAAGACTGGGCTTTAAAATTAGATGATGCATTATGGGCATACCGAACGGCGTTTAAAACACCAATTGGAACATCCCCATATAGATTAGTCTTTGGGAAAGCTTGTCATTTGCCAGTTGAATTAGAACACAAAGCTTTTTGGGCACTAAAAGCACTAAACTTTGAATTAGCCTCTGCTGGTAAAAATAGATTTTTTCAGGTTAATGAGTTGGAAGAACTGAGATTAGTAGCTTATGAAAATGCAAGAATTTTCAAAGAAAAAACAAAAATCTGGCATGACAATTTGATCCGACAGAAAAGTTTTCAAGTGGGAGATCAGGTACTTCTTTACAATAGTCGACTCAGGCTATTCCCACGAAAGTTGAAATCCAGGTGGACAGGTCCTTACAATGTTACAGATGTAACTCCATATGGTACAATTGAAATTCAGCAAAATAATGGAGGAGACAAGTTTAAGGTGAATGGACACAGTCTAAAAATGTACTTTGGAGGACATTTTGAGCAGAATTCGTCGGTCACTTTGATAGACTGATGAATCTCAAAATTAATAAGTCGAGCTGACGACGTTAAACTCAGAACTATGATACCCTACCCGTAGCCATTGAGGGTGAAGCAATGGAGCCTCATAAGTCCGATATGGAGTTGGGTAACTAAATGTTTAACCAATTAATCTGGTCAATATCCAGATTATTGTACAACCGGAACATCTCATGAAGGCCTCTAAAAAAACAGTGTCACCTACTCAGGAGTAACTCCATGGTGATCGGTATGCCTAAGTAACTGGTTGGTTAGCCATTTAATAATTCAACTCGAATGTTGGCACAGGTAAATTTTCTGGTTTATATTCATGACCAGCACTTTATGACTGTTAAAGTGTTAAATTAGTTCAGTCTATTACACATAGAACATGTGTGGTCACAGTTTCTTTCAAACTTTCTTCTGTGATTGTAAATTTGAAAGTCAAAAAGATATATATATATATATATATATATATATATATATATGTATATATATAAAATCCAATTTTAATAATTTTTTTTAATATATCTAAAAAATTTGTGACGCAATAGTTTATATATCACTAGATAAATTATTAGTATAAGCATATACGAGTCTTTATTAAATAAATATTCCTATATTTGAACTACGTGTTTGTTTATATAAAATAATATATAAGTTTCAATTAATAATATACATTTATAACTTTTGTGTAGTAAGTATAACTTTTTGGTTTAGTACGTATATATACTGATTGGCTATAGCTATATAAGGGAATAAATATATTAAAAAAATAAAAAGGATGAGGGAAGGACTTTAGTAGATATAAGCCAAGTCCCGTTGGATTTAGACTAAAAGTTAGGCAAAGTTACCTTGGATGTGTCTTGAGACCCCAGATGTGGAGTAAATTATGGAAAAAAAAAGTGAAAAAATCTTGGACGTGTCCAAGCCCCTTTCAACGCATCTATGGTTAAATTTCAAATCTTTTTTGTCATATCTTTAAAAGAAATCAATGGGACCATAGAATTCTCAGAGCCCTATTTTTACTTTTACTGTCCTGTTTCTAGAAATTCACTGTACCAATCTTCCTTTCTCACTTTTTTTTGTAACGACCCGACCGGTCGTTTTGAGTTCAAGCGCTGCGTTCAGCAGCCTGAGGCCATGAGCAGCTTCATTTCAGTTATTATGACTTGTACGCATGGTCGGAATTAAGTTTCGGGAAGTTCAGAGTCCATTTGGGAAGAGAATTCTCATTTCAGAAGCTGAAAGTTGAAAGAATGAACTTGTGACGACCCGACCCGTCGTCACGTGAGTTACCGCCCCGTTTTCCCCATGTTATGCTTCCTTATGTTTCATTATCAGTATCTGATGTGTTAGAGTTGGTTTGGAATGGTTTTGATAAGAAATGAGACACTTAGTCTCTTTTAAGAAGGCTTAGGTTGGAAAAGTCAACCGGATGTTGACTTTTGCGTTAGAGGGCTCGGATTTGAATTCCGGTGATTTGGTTAGCTTTGGGGGATGATTTGTGACTTAGGAGTGCGATCAGAATTGATTTTGGAGGTCCGGTGTAGAATTAGGCTTGAATTGGCGAAGTTAGTATTTTGGCGAATTCCGGTTGATAGGTGAGATTTTGATCCGAGGGTCGGAATGAAATTCCGAGAGTTGTAGTAGCTTCGTTAAGTGATATTGGATATGTCTGCAAATTTTCAGGTTATTCGGAAGTCGTTTGGTTGGGTTTTTGATCGAAAACGCATTCCGGAAGTTTTAGAAGAACATANGTCATTCGGAGGTGTTTTGGTTGGGTTTCTGATCGAAAACGCATTCCGGAAGTTTTAGAAGAACATAGGCTTGAATTCGATGAGAAATGATGGTTTTAGTGTTGTTTGAGGTGTTTTAATGATTGGAGCAAGTTTGAATAAGGTATTGGATCATGCTTGTATTTTTGGTTGAGGTTCCGGGGGCCTCGGGGTGATTTCGGATGGCTAACGGGAAGTTTTGAACTTAAGAGATTGCAGAACCTGTGCTGCTTCTGGTATTTTCGCTTCTGCGGAATTGGGACCGCAGAAGCGGTACCGCAGAAGCGAGAGGAGAGACGCAGAAGCGGCAGGGACCGCAGGTGCGGAATTGGTGACCGCATCTGCGGAGTCGCAGATGCGACAGGAGGACCGCAGATGCGGTATTTGAGTTCTTATGGGGATCCGCAGATGCGTTAGTTTTTCCGCAGAAGCGGGAGTCGCAGGAGCGGTTATTAAACCGCAGAAGCGGATATTTCCGCAGAAGCGGTGCATTGACCGCAAAAGCGGGAGCCGCAGATGCGGCCATGGAGCCGCAGATGCGAAAACAACTGGTTAGAATAGTTTTATTTCCCTTCGCGAATTTTTGAAAGGGTTTTATATTTTCACTTCGGGCTTGGAGAATTTGGGCGAGTTGGAGGAGAGAAATCAAGGGACTTCATTGAGGTAAGAATTTCTAAACCTAAAACACGATTTTATGGTGCAAACACATGAAATTAGACTGAAAACTCAAGGATTTAAGGTCAAAAATGGTGGTTTAGGGCTTGAAACCTAAGAGAACAAAAATGGGAATTTGAGGGGTCATTTGGACTCCGATTTTGGTGTTCTTTATATGTATAGACTCGCGGCGAGGCGAGGAAT